TTGGTACAGTGGTTAGCGCGTCGACCTCACAGTGCTTGGGTTCAATCCCCGCTTCGGCCTCCCTGTGTGGAGTTTGCGTGTTCTTCCCAGGCCTGTGTGGGTTTTCTCCAGGTACTCCGGTTTCCTCCCACATTCCAAAAACATGCATGGCAGGCTGATTGAACACTCCAAATTGTCCCTAGGTGTCAGTGTGAGCTTGGATGGTTGTTCGTCTCTGTGTGCCCTGCAATTGGCTGGCAACTGGTTCAGGGTCCCCCCCCTACTGCCCGAAGACGGCTGGGATAGGCCGCTCCAGAAACCCCCTGTGAGGAGGCAGAAAACGTCCTCCAATGTTTTTTCGTAGCATTAGAATGATCATTTAAAGGAGAAAGTGGGTGAAAGTGACGAACAGCTAATTTGACATGAACTGTTATATTACCAATCAAAGAAAAGAAACGTACGTACCAGGCAGACAGCACTGTTGTATTGCTCCATGTAGGAGAAGCTGAGATGTTGGAAACGGAGAGTGTTGCGTGACGTCACTAGTCAGCTGACGGGTTTGTTTTGCTCTCTTTGGGGAGCTCGTCATGATAAAAACACAGAGGAAGGAAGCGAGCACGTCGAAACGCATCGGGTAACGTCAACAGCTCCTCACTGCCATTACAGTATATCTCCACGCGTTGCTTGTCACGGACCGTGTCGTCAACAGCGGCCCTTTTGTTTGCTAACACCGCCATTTACCTCCGTTGTCGACTGGGACGACGACTTTGACGCATTATGCCTTCAGAAAAATCCTTCAAACAAAGAAGAACATTCGGTAGGTATTTTTCCCCACACATCTTTTTCCACAGTGCCACTTTTTCTGTATGTTGTGTATTTTTGTTGCCCTGTCTGGTGTGTAAGAAAAACAAATTGCGGCGAGTTGAGCTTTTATTTCGGACACTTCAGAGTCAAACTGCGTCAAACACAAGTCGGGGCAGATGGAGGGTTGTTGACTGGAGGGCCTCACTGTCTTGTTACTTGTTGTGTAAAACACAAAAAGGCATCTGTATGGTATTCCGTTTCTGACCGTGCTGGTTTCCTACCCTGTCTGTTTTTGTGAGGCGGTGGAAAGAAAACAAGTGGTGTCGAAAGAGGGCACGGGAGTTGAGCTGCAGGATTGGGGGATGGGACGCTTTCAGGAGGAGCAAGAAGTGTCCGACAAAAATACATGCAACACATGCTCAAAGTTCCTGTTTTTATTTACACGGCATGGATACTGCTGTATAGGTCTCGCAAGTGTGTTGTTTGAACTTCACAGTATTGTTCACTTAACTCGCTTTGATGGTAATACAACCGACTTCCGGTTGAGCCTCACGTTTATTTGTCTCAGTTTGCGCAAGGAAAGCACGTGAGGCGATTCGAGCAGCAACAGGGGCAACGTGGTCGTCCCGCGCACCACTTGCTCAAATCTGTTTATTACACTATCACAACTATCTCCAGCTTCTATTTCTGCTAGAGCACTTGTACTCACTGAAATGCTATTTATTGTTGTCAAAATTTCATATTACACTTTAATTCTGGCACAGTGAACCCGCACATATTTGCGGTTCACCAAGTAAAAGTATCACTTTGGTATCTTAGTATTAAGGAACTGTGTTTGAGTGACTTGAGGAACTTAAGATAAGAAAACCTTTATTAGTCTCACAACGGAAAAATTCCAATTCACAGCAGCAAAGTTATGAAAGGAAGTAGAAGAACAAAATGTAGGAGCTGCTGTAAAGGCGGCCACTCTCGCGGCGCCATCTTGAAGTCAAATTAACAAAATAATACAAAACTTGAGGGACAATCTGCAAATGAGGTGAGGAGTGTCATTTGCACAAATGTAGTGCTTCACCACTATCTTCTGGTATCCATCAGCAATCGTAAACCTGTAGATTTACAATAGCTAGCTTTGTGGAAGGACTCTGCCCCTATTCCTTGCATATCACAGGTGATACTTACGATTGTGCTCCCTTTCCTTATCGATGAAAACAAGGCAAAATAGATTTTAAAAAGAATTATAATAATAATTAGTGCGGTACAAACAACTTCCATCAGCATTAAAAAAGCCCTATTGGCGGACACGTTTGATGGAAATGAAGCAAAATCAAATGCCACTGTTACGGTTTTCATAGCATACTAATTTGATTGTTCAAACTGTTGCTGTTGGACTTTTTTTAAAAAGAGAATCTTTTGATTTGATTTTAAATTAGGTCATAGAATCGATTCCTTATTGACAATCAGTTCATCAGCTCAATTACATCAGAAAATGAATCGTAAAGTCATAGAAGTTTGGCGCAATTGGCCTTCTTTAAAACACAAAAACCCACACTGAGAAACCATTTCTTATTCGGTGGACATAATAAATGTATTACAAGCAAAGTAAGTCACCAGGTGTGAAAAACGTATCTGCACATTGATATGTAATGTGTTTAAAGTTAACATTCAGTTAGTGTAAATGTCATGGCTTTATACCTGTATTTGCTAGCTTTATGCTGAAAACTAACTAAGAGTTTCAGTACAAAAAAAAAAGACATGATAAAACAAGTTCTCAGATGAACCAAATGCACGCTGAAATGTTTAATATGTGTATCACTATCATCAAATTTAGTGCATAAAATAAAAAATATTGAACTGTGAAGCAATTGACATTGATGTGGTGAAATGGTCCATACAATATACAGTGGTACCTCTACTTAACGAACATCTCTTCATTTGAAATTTTCAAGTTACGAAATGCCTCAACAGGAAAATATTGCCTCTTGTTATGAAAGAAATTTCAAGATACGAAAGGTAAAAAATACAGTCTTGGACTGCGACTCGCAGCTCCGAGTTTCCTGAATGCAACATACTTAGATCTGCTCTGTCATTGGCTATTACCGAGCATCATCCTGGCATCCCATTGCCTAGGAGGGACTTCTACCTTATGTGTCTGTTTGTAGATAGATACATATTTTGTTTGTTTGTTTGTTTGTTTGTTTGTTTGTTTGTTTATTGAACATAAAACATATACAGTAATAATTTGACAGAAAATAAGGTAAATAAAATAGTAAAGAGGAAAGAGAAATTAGTCATCAT